CCTATATCCTCCTATCACCCCTTCACTGTTACAATTTTACCGTGCTTATTTCGATGTAGGGTGGTGTGCTTCTTTGAGCGACATTCATAAAAACCCTTCGCCCTTGTGTTGGGAATGTTGATCAGAGTCTGCCATATTGTTACGCAGTCTTATCACAGTTTCTCTCTCGCCCCGTAAGATCTGTCTGCTATATCACTGGTTCACGTATTTTACTCGACCCCTGCCACCCCATCTGTACTACTCGAGGCCCTCCCTTGTGTCCGGGTTGATAATTCGAGGATGAAGCCTCTTAGTAAGTCTCATATTCAAGCCTTTTCTACATGAACCACGTCTATTGTAAAAGCAAACCTACTGTCAGCCAACTAGATCCAGTCTCCGCCGCGTCTATCCTGTTTCTATCCGTAATACCAAATCTATGACTGGCTATGCCTTATTTTCTTGTGTACTAACCCACCAAGATTGTGGTTCTGCTTGCTTTGATTAGGTTCGATGTTGAATCACAACGTTTGTTCGTTGACACATTGAACCTAATCAAAGCAAGCAGTACCACAACATTTGTGGGCTAGCACACAAGAGAGTAAGGCATATCAAGTCATAGTCTTGATATTATGGATAGAGACAGGATAGACGCGGCGGAGACTGGATCTAGTTGGATGACAGACGTGGTCCATGCAGCAAAGGCTTGACGATTAGACTTACTCAGTGGCTTGAGCCTCGACGCAGAGGGGAACAATTAATGCCTCTAGTAGCCCAGTTGGGGTGGCAGGGGTCGAGTAAAATACGTGAACCAGTGATATAGCAGACGGATCTTACGGGGCAGGAGAGAGACTGTGATAAGACTGCATAACTGCGGAGGACTGCGTAACAATATGGCACACTGATCAACATTCCGAGCACAAAGATGAAGGGGGTGAAAACGACAGTGGAGTGTGAAGGGTTTTCATGAATGCCGCCTAAAGGAGCACACCAAATTGTATCTCAATAAGCACATTAAAAAGGGTAACAGTGAAAGCGTGATACGAGGATATAGGAAATGTGAATAGCCCAGGACAGAAGGGGAGATACCACAACTGTTTAGCACATGTTTGGTCAAAGGATTGATTTCACTTGTCTCTTTGACGAGTTGTTATGTGGTGCTAAGAATGGCGAGACTCACTGCCGATGCTGGCGAAACGTCTGGTAATGTACCACGTTTACGGTTCCTCTCTCGAAATGATCATGCATACGATGGACTCCGGACTAGGTGTATTTCTTAGAGGAACACCTACCAATATGACCAAGTTGCGGAAACAAGGTCAAACAACCTCAATAAATAATATACATGAATAAATAGATAATACAATAAATTATTAATTTTTTTGTGCTTCATTTACTTAACACTCCTTACCTTATAGAGAAATTGTAGCGCTTTTTGGATATATTATATTTTGTAACAAATAACCTCTGAGGGGGTGCTTATTGAACACTAATCTTCAATCTTTTATGATTTCGTTCTATATTGTTTTTATTTAGATCGTTTTTTATAATGAGAGATTGCTAAATTTTTAATAACTGTTTAATCAGTATTTTGGATTAAGCCTTCATTCTTTATTGTGCATTCCTTCCAGCTTCCCATGGCTAATGAATCTACTCTGATGGTATTCAGCGCTCTCTTTCATTCCTTCGAGCGCCTTTTCGTGCGTTCTGGTTGGTCTCAGTCTTACACAGATGCCGTTATTAATCTGTCTCTCCCACATTCTTCAGAGCAGGTGCAGAATAAACTAAACACTGAGCAAGAATCAGCAACGCGCTATTTCTGGTTCGGAGCAAATCAGATGCGCACCAGTTTGGACTTAATGCGATGCATCCTACAGCCATTAGATAATTTTGTTGCCGATAATTCATCATATGGGGATGACTTGGGACCTGATGCAAAACAAGGATTGTCCAATGGTCGGCTTGTCGTGGTTCTTACCATGATACCTTTTGGCAAAATTTATACTGTGGGTTTTAATTTTCGAGTTTTTACCATTTTTCTCTTATTACATGATCATCGTTCTTGCCTTTCGATATAATAGTAAACCTATTTGAGCTATAGACTGCTAGCATAAGCCATATAACACTAGTGACAAGTAATATTAACTCTTTTCCAAAACCTCAACATTTAAAAGATACTACGTGTCACTGTGATGGGAAGGTCGCTAATCTGCCTTTTATGAGCTGTAGGCAAGGTTACTTGTATTCTCGAAACTCTACTCCAATACGAAAATAAGGTTGCTTGTGCCATAAAATTATGCCGAACTTGCAGTTGACCCTGGTTAAAAAAGACATCTAAGGAAGTATCACCATCTTAAAAGAAAGCGCGACAAATCTCCTTAAACTTAAGCCGTTCTTTATCTTTGGGATTTATCTGAAAAGCCTTTTATCCTCCACTCTCATCTTATTATTTATTTTCTTTATATTCTATGCTGTATAGAAAGATTGCACAGGCTTTTGGGAGAGATCGATTTGAGCTGAATGCCTACAGTGAAAAAAATAGCCTTACTTGTTGCTAAAATGTAACTTTTCAATTGCAGCATGCAATTTCTTCCTTTCTCGGATTTATTATATGTTTATTTTAAACAACGCATGTGGTCTTATTTTTAATGTGATCATTAGTATCTCTAGATTTTTATTTCATTTTATTTTTACTTGTTGATTTATATTATGCTCTATGGCTGTTCAGTCTTTGTGCCACCTTATCGATGGCTGCATTGTGGCACAGTCGGAGAGTGCCGACTTCGGGGAGGACGAAGTCCGTCGGCATTTGCAGGATGTTGAAGAGGCCGATGTCTTCCCTGGCGAAACACTTCAGTCCCATGTTGTCTGTTCAACTTCTGGCAATAGTGACGACACCAGCAGTGAGTTGGATCGGTTTACCGCTGAGTGGCGTAGCGAGGCTGGTAACTTGGCCCAAATAGCTGTTTCTGTCTTCCATTTGGCATCCGGCCTTCATTCAAATGCATTATCAAGATTTGCAAGCCCTAACCTAAACCTCAACTTCTCAGCCGACAGTGCCCGGCTATTGTTATCTAACGAATTGGGTAAAGCACGTATATGGGATAGGACTAAGTCTGTGCTCTGCATCCTCCTCGATGGCATGGTCTCCGAGGCTGCTTTGACTCGCGAGGTCGCTCTTCTGGTAGGAACTTTTGCCTTTCAAACAAACAGTATTATTTTTCGTTCCATTAGTAGGTTTTTTCGAGACTACCAGTAGATCTCTTCACCCTATTTCATTTAAGGTGATAAAGAACTAGTAGTTGAATTTCTAGATTTTTGAAGGTATACTCATGCCGTTGTTGGAAAATTTAACTACCAGTCTTTCATCACCTTATAAACAGTATTCTAGAGAAATTCGATTTGTTATTTAGAGACGGCGCTGTCCACTGAAGTCTTTGTGGGTTTATGCAAAGGCAAATCTACCTTGTTTCTCATCTATTTTAGGATTCGTCGCGTAAACAAAGCTTTTTAATAATTTTCAAGTAATGATATGGTTTAGTTTCCTATCCACCGGAATGCGGCAATAACGGAAAATGAAGCCGAGGTTTTGCAGCCTCCATACAACTTTCTAATTTGCTTGAATTACTCCAAACTTTGGTTATTTGAGGGCAGTATCTATAACGGCACTTTGTTTCTTTCTCTGCATTTATCGTCAATGGTACACTAAGGTTTTCCTGATATGTGTGAACCAAGGAATGTATGACGAGCCTACGTTGGAGTGTACATACTTATTTATTATTTCCATGGGAAAAAGTTTAATCATTTAAATTAGGGAATGTACCAAGTCAATGGTCCGATGCAGGGAATCACGAATACTATGACGGGACGCAGGACAAGATACGCTCCACAAGGTCTTTATGGCGCTCCGATTAAGTTGCGAAAAAGATTCCAAGCCAACACTGCAACCATAATCGATTACGAACCACCTTGGCCTTCATATCTGTAGTCAAATAAGTTTTCATCCGAGATCGTCAACAAGTCAAAGCTGTGGAGATGTGCAAAGTAAATGCCGAATAATTAGTTATCCTCACGAGGGCAACGAGGGAATTAAAACGAACCTTTATGTAGTTCAGGTTATCTTCTTGCCTGTAGATTTTTTATATATTTGAATGAAAACAGATTTTAGTTGAGTATACGTAAAAGAGGGTGTCTCTATCATTGAGTTAATGCCTTAGGCATATGTGTCCGGTAAATTGGAAATCATTATCGTCTTAATGTGAGATCCTCCTGCAAATCTGCTCATTATGTTCTTTTAAACGACATGCAAATAAAGTTAACTTTTTGAAACCTTTTGCTAGTATTATGATATTAGCAGTGTTGAAATTGTTGACTTTTACGAATTAACTTACTGCTTCGTCCACAGGATAATTAGGAGGCAAGACAATCAACAGTTAACTTGTCATTTGCCCAATTGATAGTTAAATATGCCACTTCACATATGCATTCATTCTTTTTTTTCAACTCAATCAACTATGATCTAATCTTTTAAATATAATTGGGCATTAATTCAAGAATGCCATAGCTTATATCAATTCAGGCGCTTCCACTTTTATACATCTAGCATATATTAATTCCAATCCCACATTAGGTTACCTACTGTGACCAAACTTTGTCCATAATAATAACTCCATACTTATACGTTTTACATTTGTGCTCAGATTATTGTCGAAATCTCCTTCCAGTCCAATTGCATTCATATATTTGTTCGCTTGCTTGTTCTCACTTAATTAAAAGCACAGCAACCAACCCTCAATTATTCGCATTTTTCCAAGTCAGACTTAATGACTGTGTGTCTGACTAGATTGAATGGCTGCATTGGAGTGACTAACTCTCACGGAATTACCGAACTATCGCGCGAATATATTGCGATTAGCTTTTGTGACTAGTTTCTCTAATTTCTTGTGATAATATATCTCGTATTCGCAAACGGAATATATATATATATATATAACTATTTGCTACACCTTGTCTTGCCTGCCCAGAGTCTTCTAACCTACTCAGAGAGTGTGCCCGACCTCGTAAACGTTATATCTGCTTCCTCTGAACCTAAGCCAGCCTCCAATTCTGAAGAAACGGGCCATGCAAAGGAAACCGATCCAGTAAAACCTTATAGCAGCCCCACC